GGGGGGGGCGGGGGTTTCTATTGGGAGTCAAGGAGAATAGAGGCAAGGCTAACGGGGTGTATGCAGTGAGGCAGACAGCAGCCAGGAAGGCCCAACATTTGGGGATGGGGGGGTGGGCAAGAAGCCCTCAAAGTGGCTGGCCCTCGTGGGATGAGCGTCTTGGAGAGGAAGGCAGGCCTCACACCATCATCGCCCTCTTGTCCCTGCTCTTTCTTCCCAGACTTGCTGAGATGGAAAGTCAAAATTGCTCCTTCTTCAATGACAGCCTGTCCCCAGATGACAGCATGTGAGTTTCCACAGCTGCTCGTGTCCCAGGAATAGCTCTCCTCGGGATCCTTCAGCCCGGGTGCGGGAAGGGTAGAGTCGCAGGTGTTGGTGGTAGGGAGAAATAGGATGGTTAGGGTCCTTGAGTCCCAAAGGAAGGAAGGAAGGAGGGTCGTTTTCTAAATCACAGTGTTTGCAAGAGGAGCAGTTGGTCCTCTGTCAACTGAGCTGGGGCATGAATGAGGCGCTCTCTCCCTGACATTGGCCCACAGGTTTACCCGTTGCCAGAGCCCATTCTTCTGTGCCCCACTTTGAGGAAAGAAGCTTAGGCCTTCTTCTCAGTTTGTGGAAATGAGCCATTATCTCATGTTCACAGTTTCAAAGCCTCGGCTAGTGCCCTACCAACCCAGGAGGGGCAGATGGGACTTGTCTGAAGTGACCACAGAGATCCCATGGAGCCCTTTGCTGTCAGGGAGAGCCCTGACCTGCTCAGAAGACCTCGGCGAGATGGGCTACATGGATCCACCTGGCCCCAGTGGGGACTTAGCCCAGCAGAGAGCCCTCTTAGAGTGGGAACAGGTGTAGGGGAGTGGGGCAATAGCACCGAAAGGGAATGAGTTAGCTCATTGTTTCATTGAGAGCTAGAAACAGAACCCAGAAGCCTCAGCATCCCGAAGATACTCTCACCATGGCCTGGGCCACCTTTGACAATTCCCTTCCCGCTGAAGCCTGGATAGAGGGCCTTTCTATTGCGATGTGACTTTTTCAAGGACTCCTCCCCCAGGTACCTCCTGGAACTTTGCTGAGCTGGGAGCTGAGAACTCCTAAGCTATTCCTCTGTTTGGTGCCTGACCACCTCCTTTCCTCTCCCGACGCAGAGACGAGGACCAGTACCTGCTCCGGCACTCCAGCCCCATCACAGATCGGGAACCAGCCTTTGGGCAACAGATCCCGTGCAGCATGGCCACAGAAAGCAAGGGAGAGCTAGAGAAAATCCTGGCCCACTTAGAAGATGAGAACCGGTGGGTGTGGTGATAGCACAGATGTGTGTTGGTTCCAGAGTCAAGATGACTTAAAGTTAAATCCTGCCCCTTCCATGTACTAGCTGTGTGATCTTGCACATGTGACTTACAAGCGGTGGTCCTGTATTTTCTCATCGGTAAAATGGGGCCCATGATAATGGTTTTTACCTCCTGGGTTACTTGTAAAGAGGTCAGAAATATCATGGGTTAGCCCACGACCTGGCTTATAGTAAGGGTTCAGTAAATGCTTGCTAAGGTGGCATTGCTGGGTAAACCTTGGAGTGCAAACCACAAGTTGGGGTGCTAACCTCAAGGTCAACAGTTCAAATCCACTAACCATTTCCTGTGAGAAAGATAAGGCTGTCTGCTCCTGCAAAGATTTACAAAGGCTCAGAAACCCTATATAGGATTGCTATGAGTTGGAATCGACGGGATAGAAGAGGTTTTTTTTTAACTCTAATAAATGAAGTCCCTGAGTTATGCAAATAGTTCACATGATGAGCAAGTAACCAGAAGGTTGGAGTGCCCCCAGAAGTGCCTCCGAAAAAAGGTCTGGCAATCTACTTCTGAGAAATCAACTATGGAAAATCCCATGAACCCCCAATTCTACCCCTGACATACATGGGGTCACCATGAGTTGGAGTTGACTCTATAGCAACCTAGTAGTAGTCGTAGTTGCCACCACTAGGTACGAGCCACTTCAGAGGATACAGAAGAGAACCTGATATGTTCCTGTCCCCAAAGAACTGCTGGGGAAGGGAATGGGAAAAAAGCAACCTATCACTTAGCAAAAGTAAGAAAGAAGAGGAGGGTGATGAGGTGATAGAGCATTTGGAGACTGGAAGAGAGAAAGAAAAGAAACTCATAGGGTTGACATGAGTCGCCATAAAGCATGGGTTGCAGCAGGGGCATAAGGAGGTGAGTCTGAGCCACTTTAGAGATGCAAGTCTGCAGTAGAATCCATAGTGTTCTTTACAGCCCATGGCCATCCATTCAATTCCAACTCCTAGTGACTCTACAGGACAGAGTAGAACTGCTCGCTAGGGTTTCTGAGGCTGTAAGTGTTTATATGGGAGCAGATAGCCTCATATTTCTCCCACAGAATGACTGATGGATTCAAATGGTTGACCTTGTAGTTGGCAACCGACATGCCACCAGGGCTCCTCTTTCCCTTACAGCATAGGTTCCCAAACTTATTTGACCTACCGGCCCCTTTTCAGAAAAAAAAAAAAATTTTTTTTAAATCAAAACCCCCTGGCAATTCAAAATATTTGTACAATAGCCCATAATAAAGTATAATAAAAAAAAAGCTCAGGATAAACTGTAAGTGTCTGCTTTTACAGCCATACTCTCCCTACCACCACCACCATCCCCTGGATCATTCTAGTACCCCCTATGGGCCAGTATTCCCCACCTTTGGGCAACACTGCCTTAGAGCAATGCTTCTCAGGCATACAAATTACTTGGGGATCTTGGGAAAATGCAAATTCTGGGTCATAAGTCAGGGATGGGGCCTGAGGGTCTATGCCTACAAGCAACTCCCGGGTGGTGTCCATGCCGCTGGTCCCCAGAGAACACTTGGAGCTGCAAGTCTGTCGAACGATGCTAGTCGGAGTCAGGCGTGCAGAGCGGGCCCAATTTGTCTGTTAGAGATCCAGGACCAGATAAATACAGAAATTCGGAGAGCGCTTTGAGAAGCTTTCCTAACAATCTGACATGGCCATGGCATGCCCTCGTGGACTCCCTGATGAGGATATAGACAAGTTAGGGTGTTGCTGTCACATGCGATGTGAACTGTGTCCTAATCAAGAGCATTGGGACTACATATTGGTCCACGGGGATTTGGGGGTGGGGGCAGTGGTCCTTGAGAAGGAAGCACTGCATCAGAACCGCAGTGGGCAGGTCCTGGAGGATGGTTGTGTGGTTGAGTGATTACGTTCTGTTGTCAAACAATTCCGTGACCCCAAAGTAGCCCTCTCTTGCTTATGTTATGTCTTCCCTGGGAATCTAAAAATGGAGTATGTGAGCCAGTGGCCCTACTGCATCATTTAATTGCTGACTGGGTTGCAACTCAATATCAAGGGCAGAATTAATCCCCCAAGCAGCACATCGAAGCCTGAGACTTGTGTTCTATGAAATCACAACTCTCTCTGCTCAGAGGTCCAGGGATGGCAGAGCAAATAACGGATGCGGATGTGCTGGAAAGGGAGTGGACCTGGCCACTGCCACTGGGAGCAGCGGTAGAGATGGAGGATCCGAGATTGCTCTCACTAGCCGTGGTTTCAGTCCAGGCCACACTCTTTTCCTCGCCCCAGGTACCTGGTCTAGGTATGAAAGGACCTCTGGGACATGCACCTGTCAAGGCCACCTCTCTTCGTTGCTGTCTTCGGCAGGATTCTCCAGGGAGAGCTGAGACGGCTGAAATGGCAGCATGAGGAGGCGGCTGAGGCCCCTGCCCTGACTGAGGCCTCTACTGACCACGACCACCGCAATGAGGAGCTTCTGGCCGAGGCCAGAATCCTTCGACAACACAAGAGCCGCCTGGAGACGCGCATGCAGATCCTGGAGGACCACAACAAGCAGCTGGAGTCCCAGCTGCAGCGCTTAAGGGAGCTGCTCTTGCAGGTGTGGCTGGGGCCAGGGCAAGAAGGGTTGCAGCCCTTGAGTGGGGGGTGTAAAAGGGGAAGGAAGAAAGAGTTTCTTGGTAGGTAGCCCCTGAAGAGAATGGGGCTGGCCACTGGGGAGGGAGAGAGAAGGAAGGAGTTGGGATGGTCACAGGGCTTCACCAGATCTCTTCTACTCCTTTATCTTCCATGCCACCCTCCTGTGTGATTCTCAGGTCTCTATGAGGCCAGAGGTCAAGCTTCTGTGGACTCACTTCTCCACAACCCACAACCCATTGGAATCCTGACCCCAAACCAATTGGTTGTACTAGTGTCGAGCTTGTCAGAAAGAAGCCAGGTTGAGCATGCTGTGCAAGACCATGGTTTTTGCTCTAAAGGGATCTCTCATCACCCTTTGCTTCTTTATTGAGAAACACTGTGATGCTGGAGTCAGACAGCCCTGAGTTTGACCCTGGTTCTGACACTAGTGAGTGTGAAGTGCCGAGCAAGTTACTTCACCTCACTAAGCCCCAGTTGTTCCCTCATCTGCACAATGAGGATGCAAAGCATACTAAAATCAAACAAACCCACTGCCATTGAACTAATTCTAACTCATAGAGACCCTAGATAGGACAGACTAGAACTACTTCTTGGAGCCCTGACCGTGTAATCAGTTAGGCATTGGGCCGCTAACCTCGAGGTTAGCAGTTGGAAGTGACCTGCCACAGAACAGAAGAAAGACAAAGCTTCACTCCTGTAAAGAGTTACAGTCTTGGAAACTCACAGTTTTTCTACTCTGTCCTGTAGGGTCACCATGAGTCCAAATTGATATGATGGCAAGGATTTTGATTTGGCTTTTGAAAACTTTGTCTCAGGATTTCTGAGACTAACTTTTCACAGGGCCTTAAAGCAGTGGTTCTCAACCTTCCTAATGCCGTGACCCCCCCCCCCAACCATAAAATTATTTTCGTTGCTACTTCAGACGTGTACCGCCCCCCCAACCATAAAATTATTTTCGTTGCTACTTCATAACTGTAATTTTGCTGCTGTTATGAATCGGGTGACCCCTGTGAAAGGGTCTTTTAACTCCCAAAGGGGTCGTGACCCACAGGTTGAGAATTTCTGCCTTAAAACCTCATCTTTCTCCCATGGAGTAGCTGGTAGGTTCAAACTGCTGACCTTGCACTTGGCAGACCAATGCTTAGCCGACTGCACCTTGATAGTTGAGGATAGAAGGATAAAAAGAGACAATGCATTTGAAGTATTTAGCATGGTGCCTGAAATGTGGTTAACTCGGTCACTGCCATCAAATCAATGCCAACTCATAGCGACCCTAGAGGACAGAGAACAGGGTAGAGCCGCCCCTGTGCGTTTCCAAGACTGTAACTCTTTACCGGAGTACAAAGCCCCGTTTTTCTTCCATGGAGTGGCTGGTGGTTTCGAACTGCGGACCTTGTGGATCACAACCAGTAACGACTATGCCTTGAGGGCTCCTTGGAAATGTGGTAAATACTTAATAAAAACCGAACTCACTGCCATTGAGTCAATGCTGACTCGTAGCAATCCCCTGTGGGTTCCCAAGAATGTAACTATTTACGGGAATAGAGAGCCCAGCCTTTCTCCTACGGAGCTGCTGGTGATATGCGATTGCCCACGGTGCGGATCACAGGCCAATGAGTAACCACTATGCCACCAGGGCTCCAGATACTTAATATTAAATATGATTGTTGTCTTTGGAGACCTTACCCACTGCTGTGGAGTCGATTTTGACTCATAGTGACCATGTATAGGGTTTCAGAGGCTATAAATCTTTATGGAGCCAGATAGCCTCATCTTTCTCCCACAGAACAGCTGGTGGTTTGAATCAGACTTTGTAGTTAGCAGCCCAACACTTGCCTATCCTTGGTTGATTGCAAATGATTAATTTGTGCAGGTGCTCAGAGGCTCACCAAAAGGTTTGTGGTTTGAGGCTATCCAGAGGTGCCGTAGAAGAAAGACCTGGTGATCTACTTCCCCCTCAAAACCCACAACCCTTGAAACAGCACAGTGCTACTCTGACACACATAGGGTTACCCTGAGTTGGGATGCACTTGACAGCCGCTGGTTTATTGTTGTCATTATTGTGTGACAGGTAATACCACCAGTCTCCTTTCCCTGATCCTCCAAGGGACATAGATTTCTGGAGGTTTCTAACATATGTCATCATGTCATAAGCTGAGGAGCAGGTGTACACCTCTACATGGCCAGAGAGAATTACACTCTAAATAGCTTACTTGTAGCTGAAATGTCATCAAGAGGCCTTTAGGTACAATACCATCTTTTTCAGAACTGAGAGCCTCTGACACACATTGTTCAGGAGAGGATGTAATTGGTAACACGTTTCCTAAAAGAGGATACCACTGTTTGGGGCACTCGGCAAAACTTCTTAAAGTCAAAGCAACAGGCATGGGCTGCTTACACTCCCTGCTAACCTCAAGAATCTTATTTCCCTAAATTACAAAGCCAATATCATTTGGTATGCTAGTTTAAGTTCAGTATAATTGTTGATATGTAATTTCAGAAGCACATACAAACATATTCACAGAGCTATTAAAATAAAAGTGTTTTCTATGTGGAAAAAAAAAGAATCTGTCAAAGTATGGTCAGAAAGGCAAAGCCACGTAACACTTTCACTCTTGCTAGCCACCCAGTGAATCCGATGGCAATGGCTCTGCAGGCTCGTCCCTCGCTTCCTCCCCACAGCAGTCAGAAGTCAGTCACGCCCACGAGAAGGAACAAACCACTCCGGACACAGAGGCTGCAGGTGAGCTCCCCAGCTCCTCCTAGCCCTTTCCTCTATGGCTTTGTCCTGTCCCAGGTTTATTAGCTAAGGCTCTACTAGGGCTCTGAGGTTGGTTTCACCTGATGGTATCCAGACTGCAGTCCGGGCTTGATTGGTTTACTGATTGATACATTCATTTGTTCATTCACTGTTATTTCTGTACTTAGGAGTCTTTGTGTTGCTTCCAACTCATACTGACCGTATGTTGAACAGAACAGAACACTGCCATTGTTGTTGTGCTCGGGCCCATTGTTGCAGCTTCTGTATCAATGCAACTCAAGAGGTCTTCCTATTTTTAGAGCATCCTTCACTTTACCAAGCGTGAGGTCCTTCTCCAGGGACTGGTACCTCCTGAGGACATGTCGAAAGTACTTGAGATGAAGTCTCACCATCCTTGTATCTAAGGATCATTCGGACTGTACTTCTTCTAAGACAGATTTGTTTGTTCTTCGGGCAGTGCATGGTATATGAAATATTCTTCTCCAACACCATAGTCCAGAGGTACCAATTCTTCCATTGTTCAGTTTTCACATGAGCTAAGTGGACATGCCATGGCATGAGGGCACCGTCGTCCTCAACATCATATCTTTGCTTTTTAACACCCCATGGAGGTCTTTGGTAAAAGATTTGCCCGATGCAATGCAGCATTTAATTTCTTGACTTGCTTCCAAGGGTGTTGATTGTGGATCCAAGTGAAAGGAAATCCTTGACAACTTCACTATTGTCTGTATTTGTTATAATGTTGCTTATCAGTCCTGTTGTGAGGATTTTTGTTTTCTTCATGGTGAGCTGTGAGCACTTCAAGTACTTTTCACTTCCAGGAAATAAGGTTGTGGCATCTGCATATCCCAAGTCTTCAGTAAACATTCCTCTAATCCTGATGCCGAGTTCTTCATACAGTCCATCTTCTCAGATTGTTTGCACAGCAGACAGATTGAATGAGTATGGTAAAAGTATACAACCCTCATATACACCTTTCCTGATTTTAAAGCATGCAGCATTCCCTTGTTCTGTAAGAACAACTACCTCTTGGTCTGTGTACACATGAACACAATGAAGTGTTCTGGAATTCTCATTCTTTGCAATGCTGTCCATAGTTAGCTATAATCTGCACAGTCAAAGGCCTTGGCATGCTTAATAAAACACCAGTGAATATTTTTCTGATACAATCCATCTGATAACAGTAATGGTATTTCTCATTCTACATCCTCTTCAGAATCTGGTTCAATTTCTGGCAGTTCCCTATTGACATAGGGCTGCAATCCATTTTAATAGTCTTAAGCAAAATTTTACTTGTGTCTAATATTAATGATATTGCTTGGTAACTTGCACATTCATTGGCTCACCTTTCTTTTGGCACAAATGGAATGAGCGCTTTTCCCGTGGATTGGCCAGGTAGTTCTTTCAGCCTGAGAAATGCTGAGTATGTTCTTTCTTGCCTTTGGTTTTCTAACTCCAGGTCTTTTGCAAAGCTTCTGGTCAGCTCTCTCTCTCTCTCTCTCTCTCTCTCTCTCTCTCTCTCTTTTACAAATCATTTTATTGGGGGCTCTTACAATGACCCATGCACCATTATGTCAAGCACGTTTTGTTCAGCTACTTTACTTCATCACTTCTTCCATTTACATTGGCAATTGTATATTCAAGAGCAAGCTTCAGAGTCTCTTCTGACGTTCATTTTGGTCTTTTCTTTCTTTCCTGTCTTTTTTATGTCTGCATACCTCTTGCTTTCTTCATGTATGATGTCCTTGATGTCATCCCACGGCTCATCTGGTCTTTGGTCATTGGTGTTCAGTGCATGTCATCTATTCTTGGGTTTGTATCCAAATTTAGGTGGGAAACCACCAGCCACATGGTGTTTTAGCTCTCATACATTTGTTTTAATTTTCTTCACCATCAACTTGCATATGTGCAATTGATGGTCTGTCTTATAGTTGGCCCCTGACCTTGTTCTAGCAGATGATATTGAGCTGCTCCATTATCTCTTTCTGCAGATATAGTCAATTTCATTCTTGCGCATTTCATATAGTGAGGTTCACACATATAGTTACTGTTGGTGTTGTTGAAAAATAGTCACTGGTCTCACAAAATTCTACCATTCAATCTCCAGAGTGATTTCTATCACCAACAACTCAGTGTTGGATTGCCCAATAAGCAAGGCTTATTTGTGCTTACTTCCTAATCTATAGAGAACAGTTTCATGTCCAATGTAAGGTCCCAGTTACCTTGCTTATTGTATTACCTGCCACTGCAACTATGGATCCTTCATCTGTTTCCAACTTCCATAAGTAAGGAGCCCTGGTTTCACAGTGGGTTACAAGTTGGACTGCTAACCACAAAGTCAATAGTTCAAACTCATTAGTCTCTCCACAGGAGAAAGATAGGGCTTTCCACTCCAATAAGGATTTATAGCTTTTCAAATCCACAGTGCCAGATTCTAGTCAGTCCTGTAGGGTTGCTGTGAGTTGGAATCAACTTGATGACAGTGAGTATGGTTTTTTAGTTTTCCTGGTTGCTTGTTTGATCAAATTTTCATCTTTGGCCTTAGTCATTGCTATATAAATATGAATCATAATCATATTATCAGGTCTTCCTTATAGGCATATATCATGCAGTCACTGACCATGTTGTACTTCGGCATAGATGTTGTCTTTGTGAACAAATGCAACGTCATCCCTCTTCACTTTGCCATTGCTGGCCTAGTAGCACATACGACTGTCCAATTTAAAATGGCAATCACCAGTACATTTTAGCTCACGACTGCTGAGGAAATCTACCTTCAAGTGTTTCATTTAACTTTTGACAGCTTTCAATTTTCCTAGCTGCATACTTAATAATGCCATATTATGATTATTAATAGATGTTTGTAGCCGCTCCTTCTCATTTTGAGTTGTTCCACATCAGCAAATGAAGGTCCTAAAACTTTGTTCTATCTACCTCATTGAAGTCAACTCAACTTTGAGGAGTCCTATTTTGAGTGCCTTCCAACCTGAGATGCCCATATTCCAGAACTGTATCAGATAATATTCTTCTGTGACTCATAAATGATTCATTGGTCAATTAAAAAAAAAGATACCCAGGTCATTCTTCCTAGTGTGCCTTAGTGTGAAAGCTCTGCTAAAACCCGCCCACTGTGGGTGACCCTGCCGGTTTTAAAACTGCTGGTGACATAGGTTTTAGCCTCACAGCAACATACAAACCACCATAGTAAGACAAACTCACAGATGGTTGTTTATCCCCCAAGTGTTTATTTAATGCCTCCTATGTGTCAGACCTTTGCTTGGAAGACAAAAGTGCTGCGAGTTTGCTCTCCTTCTGGAATTATTCTACCTGGACCCTTTGCCTTGATAACTGTCTAGTTCTTTTCTCTAACCTCCTCTCTTTTTCACCTCAGATGACGTGGGGTCAAAGAGCCAAGATGTCAGCCTGTGCTTGGAAGATATCATGGAGAAGCTCCGTCATGCCTTCCCCAGTGTGCGAAGCTCTGATGTGACTGCCAACACCCTACTGGCCTCTTGATGGAACAAGTTCCTTATCCTGTAGTCCTCACTCCTCTCTTGGTTCTGGTCAAAGCCTTCCCTCTGTCTTCACCCAACCTTTCGAGTTCCCAATAGCCCGGCAGGCAGAAACAGGGATATGGAGTTATGTGAGGTGGGAGTGGTAGAAGCTGGGAAAGGGGCACATGATCCCCTGACTCTAGAAATATGCCCTTTAATCCTCAAGCTTGAGACTTGTCCCTTGAGTATACTTCTGTTGCAGCCCAGGCAAATGGCACTTGGTAGCCATTCAGATAGGGAGCAAAGAAGTTGTCTTGCAAACTTTATCTCCCTTCTCCACAGAGATAAAAATGCCTAATGGCTCTGGGGTGCTAGCATACTGAATGCACAGGGGTTAGCCCTACTCTTTGGCCTAATTCATGCGGAGGGTCAAACGAGTATCTTTTGAGGCACTCTTCCAAGTGCCCCTGAAAAAGTCTGTGACAGTACATGTCATCTTACTTCAGTTCCAGGACATATCGCTAGCCATCCTGTTGCTATTTAGATCTTGTCTTTCTTCTTTTAGTATCTTCAGTTCCTTCTGCGTCACTGACTGAAGACCTTCCTCAAAAGGGTAAACAATCCATTCCACTTCCACTTCACATTTGGAAACATTGAAGAAAGGCTTCTGGGTATAACTTATTCCCCCTCTTGATCCTTAGTAAGTTTTAATTTTGTTTTGGTCCCCTCCCCACCCCCACACCCCCGGAGAGACCTGCTAGACTTGTCCTAGGAACCCAGCCAAAGTTATCCTTTGTTCTGAGTCTGCTATCATCGATCTAGGAGAGGACTGATAGCTAGCTCAAGGAGAGGGCCTTGCTCTCCTTGGGCAGAGAATGGAAAGCCAACCCCTATCCAGGAGGAGGATGACTACCCAATACCCTCATTGGTGGGGTCCCATCAGTCTCTTACTCTGAATCAGATGGGGTGGCTGATTGCCCTCGGATAAGCATATAGTCGATGTAGCCAGTCATCCTGAGCAGTGGCCTCTTCCAAGGCGCCACTGGCCACCAATCAAGAAGCAGGTCACTTTCCTGAAATACTCAAACCACAACAAGATGTTCCTTTAAATAACCCCACCCCCTGCCCCCCAATTCTAGAAGGTAAACCTGCCCGCAAACAGAACTAACTCTTCTTTGGCGATATATACCATGACCCCTTTATCCAAAAACTATTCATTGTAGATAGGGGAGGAGGGTGGGAACTTTTAACAGCGTTAGAACCCACATAGACAGCTTCTATCAAGAGGAGCTTTATAACCTAGAACCCTACAATTGACTTATTTTTCCTAGGGTTATAGACATACATACATATCTATTCTACATGTCTACTTTTCAGCAGTACTCTGCACATTAAATTCTAATACTTCTTAAAACATTAATGTTCTGCCTTGCTCTTTGTTAGCCCCAGCCTCTGGTTGGACAGGTAGATGCATCTTGGGGAAATTCCATCCAGGGATGTCCCCTTAAGATGTCTCTCTCCAAGATGTTTGGGGTGGGTTGTTCTTACAAGCAAAGCAACAGAAGCTTGTGGCCAACAGAGGAACTTAACAGGAAAAATCCATTTGTTCTCTTTCCTTTCTCCAAATCTCATTTCCTTGAGACATGGGCCTTGGATGCCTTTTCCTGGACTCCTCTAAACAATGGTTCTGGTGCCAAGATAGACCATATTAAAGCTTCGCACACCCAACACACACAGGCCCTTATTATTAGACTGTCACGCTGAAACACGGAATAGATACATATTTTAGCCTTTTCCAATTCCTGAGGTTTGGCCTAGGGACTTCACTAGCAATGGTTGCCACGAAGGTCAGGGGAGCATGGAATAGGTGGGTTACTGCGTTATAATCAATTACTAGATGTTTCTGCTGCAGGGCCGGGAGGGCAGTAGCTTGAGTCCAGAAGCCTCAGCTGCACTAAACAACAGGCCCAGGGAGTCGGACCTCAGGTCACATCTACCTTAGAGTTCATGAGGAATCTGGGTGGGAGAGCCGGATATCTGGATGATGGGCGGGCATGAAAAACAGAACCCGTGCATTGGACAAGGTGGGTTTTATTTGCAAGGGCCTAAATTGTGAGCAGGAGTAGAATGGGAGACTTTTGCTGTAACATAGAAGGATCCGGGACTTTGAAGCCTGTGCTTGCCTTATCTAATCCTCAGAATGGATATTATGGAACAATCTTTTATCAGGAAGGCTCTAAAAAATCGTTTCCATAACCCCCTACTCCACCCCAGAGATCTTGTGCTGCTGGGACCCTGTGGCAACTGCTGTGGGTCAGGCATGGTAGAAACGATGTAGATCTTGTTATGTAGGATTTGTGCTGTAGGTGGACTGAAGTAGCAGGTCATAGACTCAAGCGTTGACCTTTCGCTAACAAGGGTCACCAAGACTGTGGCCCTGGATTTACCTCCATACCTGAGATGTATATTCCTGAAGGGTCCAGTGATGATCACTGCAGCATGTGTGGGCAGTTGGCCCGCAGTGAGGACCCTTGGGTGATGTGAATTCAAATTCGAGTAGGATTTACTGACATGTCTTGTATGTTGTTAGGCATCTGTTGTGTATCATGTCGCCTAGAGGTGTTGTGTGTGATGCTGTATAGTTTAGTGCCTTGTACTGGAAAGATGGTGATGGGGGCTGCTGAGTAGCCCAAGGAAACCTTCGAAATGGTGAGCTTAGCATCTGTGATCAAGAATGTTTTGCTGGAGTTGTTGACAACGAATAATCAGTGAAGAGTTAGGACTGATAGACAATTTATTCTTGACTGGATCCAATAGAAGCCAAAAGCTATTGTGGAGTGCAGCTTCTCCCAATTAGAGCAGAGTGGAATGAAGTTGACTGAGGCTTTGTCAAGAAAAGCTGACTGGCGGAAGGACATCGGTTGCAGGATGGTTCCCTAGGAAAGGCCCTACCCAGGAGCGCATGTGCCCTTCCCTCAGGAATGAGAAGGCTGGAATCAACTCTCAAGAGCCCATTGCCCTCAAAATCCCAACTTTCGAAAAGTTCCCTCCAGAGAAACCTCTGGGTCTCTGGTGCTCTTAAAACTGGGCTGACAGACAACGGTAATGAGAAACCCTGGGGCCAAAAGAGCCCAGTTCTGGGAGACATTTCCCATCTGGATTCATCTTTAGGAATACCTATGCCGGCTGTGGTATGTGCTTGGGGGCTACGCTGCATGTACAGTAATAGTCTAGAACAGTCCTTGAATTTGAATTCTCAAGGGCAGAAACATAGCCTCTGGCCTCAGGGACAATTTTAGGCCCAGAATCCCATCACATTTCTCTTGGCATCAGTGACAGATAACAACAACAAAAGTAGCTCTGCCTCAAGAACTGCCCAGAAAGAGAAACTGGGCCTGCGCACTAGGGCCGTTAAGATTACACACCTGAGTCAGGCAACTTTATCTCTGGGCCTCCCTGCCAAAATCTAGCTCTGGAAACAAAAGACTATTTCAGCTCCTTTTCACTCTTTTGAAATCAATGGTGATGGGAGAGGGAAAGGCTCAAGGTCAGAGCCCAGCTTCCAGCCTCTATCTCTTCCCACAGCAGCTCCCACAGGAAGGGACCTGCAGTGTCCTTGTGGTCTCCGCGGCAGTATGGAGGCCAGCCTGAATCTGGCTCTGCTGCTTGCTGTCTGCCAGAACAGGTCATGAGGACGGGAGTCTAGAAAAGTATAGGATGAAGGGGCTGGGGCTGGGAACACATTGGTTAATATTGGTTGCCACTCACTGTGGTGCTTTCCCCCTTTTCCTTTAATTCTGCTTTGAAAAGAATAAATTTGTATTTGTTTACTTTGGTTCTTCGGGTTATACTCTGACTCTGATATTCCACATCCTTCCCTTACTTGGAAGTAGGAAGAACAGGTGGTCAAGAAGCCAAAGAAACAGTGTAAAGCATAGGCCCCAGATGAAGCCAAAGCCTAAGGGACAAAAGAGACCCCCTCCATCCTTGTTCCTGGAAGTGGTTGCCTCTCAAAGCCCTACACAGCTTAGCCAGTTATCCCACATGGGATGAGCTCTACAGAGCATTGGTTCCTAAACATCACCCTCAGCAATCTGAGGGGTTTCTCAGCAGTCTGACACCACCTGAGAAGAATCAGGACATTAATTCAATTTCAAGGTCTATCCTTTATTCTGATAGATAAGTATTGGGGGTTTAATGTCCTTATGAATTAAGTGAATCTATCACTCTTCCTCATCCAATTTTCCTTTTCTCACCCTAGTATGAGCCGCATATGTAATTTTGAATTTTCCAGCAGCCCCATAAAAAAGTAAAAATAAACAGATACAATTGAATTTACTATTTTATTTAACCCAGTACATCCCCGAATGGTATCGCTTCAGCAGGTAATCAATATAAAACAATTATTAATAAAACAATATATATGTGTGTGTATAAACTATATATGTCTGTGAGTGTATATATAGATATAAGCTCTGGTTGTATAGTGCTTATACACTTATGCATTGGGCCGCAATCCACATGGTCAGCAGTTTGAAATCACCAGCAGCTCCGCAGGATAAAGACTGGGCTTTCTACTCTCATCAACGGTTAAAGTCTCAAAAACCCCCAGGGGATCACAATGAGTCAGCAGTGCTGGAATACCTTTACACTTTTCCATGAACTCTTTGAAGCCCCTTCTTACATAACAGATCAAAACACTGCCTGCCCAGTCCCATACCATCGGCAAGCCTTCACAATTATTAAGTAGGCTGAGAGATTCAGCTAATTGAGAAATAAGAAACTCGTCGTCAGACACTACGTCACTGATACAGACGGTAACAGCAAGATCAATAATGCTATCAGCAACCTGCAGCCTTTGTCTCATGGAAGATATCGAAACAAGAGTCCAGAGGACACCCAGAGTGAGTGGCGATGCACCTTGTTGCTGAGTAGCTAATCCCACACTGCAGCTAAGCAACTTGCATGCCTGCAGCTGTACTCTCTGGGGGTGAGGGCAGACAAAAAGTCGCATTCTTTGCCAGAATGAGGGATGTAGATAAGAAACTTCTTCAAGATAGGGGGTCGAGTGAGAAATAGTATTGTAGCCATTCCTCACCACAAAGATGCAGAATAGGGCACATTGCCAAGACCTGGCTGGGTCCACTGTGGTGAGCCTTGCCTGTGCTATGTAGAAACATTCAAGGTCGACAGAGCACTGGCACAGAACACTGCCCCTACTGAAGTCCCAGTTGGGGCTAGTCATTATGTCGAGTACTCAAAAGCCATATGCGGCTAATGGAGACTGTATTTGGACCGTGCAGATCACTGAGCTTTAGAAAAGGAAAATTCGGTGGGTGTGTGTGGGGGGGGGGACAGGGAGTAGTTGTGTGTGTGTTGGAGGGGAGGGTGAAGTGGAGAGACAAAGCAGCCGAGAACCTTAGGTTATTGGAGGGCAGCAATGAAGAGTTACCTTGGGTTGTTACCTTGAGAAGTGGTAGCAGAGAATAGAAAAGCACTGCGGACAAGCTCATTTCCCCTTGCCGCAGCCAATTGTCTTCCCCGAGGCCAGGTTCTTTTCAAGCTCAGCCTCTACTCCCATGTTCTGCCTCTAGCACTCAAACCCCTCTACCACCCCCCACCCCCCGTCATTGTTCCTTCTCTTTTCCTTTCTGGGAGAAAAAAACAAAACACATTTTTCTGTCCTTTTAGTTTTCAAGCCATCATGACTTCTCTCCTAATCTTAGCTTCTTGTTGTTTGCTCTTACCATGCCTATCGCCCTTAGTCTTACTTCTCACCCAGTTTTTCCCACAGCGTGCAGTCTGTCTTCATATTACCTCAATAGGCCCAACACAGATAACTTAGGAGAACATTTCCTACAGCAGCACCGAATCCATCCATTGTGACCAGTACTGGATGGACGTTCAGAAAACTATGGATACCTCTGGATGGTAGGCATTATGTCCCTTGGTTTGCATAGTATTAGATTTGGAATGAGCAGCTCTTAAATGGTGTGGGTTTATATGCAATCCAGGATAGGTAAATCTAGAGAGTAACTCAGTGGTTCTCAACCTTCCTAATGCCGCGACCCTTTAATACAGTTCCTCATGCTGTGGTGACCCCCCCAACCATAAAATTATTTTCGTTGCTACTTCATAACTATAATTTTGCTACGGTTATGAACCATAATGTAAATATCTGATATGCAGGATATATGCTTATTGTTACAAACTGAACATAAAGCATAGTGATTAGTCACAAAACAATATGTAATTATATATTGTGAAATATTTGTGTTTTCTGATGGTCTTAGGTGACCCGTGAAAGAGTCGTTTGACCCCCAAAGGGGGCGCAACCCACAGGTTGAGAACCGCTGGAGTAACTAGATGAATAGTTCCTTGGAGTTATGGCCTAGTGGCATAGTGGTTACATGTTGGTTGGGCTGCAAAGCACAAGACTAGCAGTTCGAAACCACCAGCTGCTCCGAGACAGATGACGCTTTCTACTCTTGTGAAGAGTAATGGTCTCAAAAACCCACAGGGGCCATTCTACATGGTCCTATAGGGTCACTCTGAGTTGGAATTGACTCGATGGCAGTGAGGTTTTTGAGTTTAGGGTTATGGCAGAGGAGTTTGGAGGAGTAATGGGGAACAAATAATAATGGGTTCAAGAATGAAGAAAATGTTCTAAGATTGTGGGGATTATACTTTTAATCTACTCGAACCATTGACTTGTATGGTATGGGAATTATGTGTTGATGAAACCGTCTTTTAAATAGTGTAAGGACTTGCCCAATAAGAGTGGCGGCAGTGATGAGATGTCTACCTTGTGTTCATTCCACTACAGTATGATAATTTGATCTAAATATTACAGATGGCATGTGTTATCGCTTCTCTATTCCCTCGCTCCAAATCCAGTTTCTATGTGGTTAACATAAGAGTACTTGCTTATCAGTTCATTGGAAGGAACTGTGAGAACTCTGTAGGAAGACGGCCCAGCACTGACAGCAGCTGATTGTTATTTCCCTAATTGTAGAGTTCATTCCTTGTCTCGTGAGTTTCCTTTTTAGATGATGAGTGTCCACTTCGCATGGGCAGTTTAGTAGTCACAGCCATCGGTTTGAAACCAAGAAAACATTTATTGCTCAGAGAATATAGATCACTTTAATAATGCATGCTGTTAAAACTACCCAGGGTTGTTCACAGAAGGTATTTGTTTTCCCTAAGCTTTTCTAATGGCGGTCAGGAGGTGGCGGCTCAGAATAAGGATATCAGCTCAAGTTTTCTTCATCTATCTAGCTAATAGCAATCGGCCACAGCCACAACATAGCAACAGAGGGAAAAAAAAGAAGCAGGAATGCCGCCTGCACGGAGATCTAGCACAATCTCCTATTAACTGTGGTGCGGTCAGCACTTACATGCCCTGAGGCAGGTAGGAAGGGCTTGTTCTTGGTATAAATGACTTGCCTTTTTCTATGATAGAGGAAGCACTAAAATGAAAGGAGCGAGAAAGGCATAAAATATCTGCAAACTAGCTGTATGGCCTGCAAACTAGACTCTGCATTGGGCAAGCATGGCTGAATCATTGGCTAGCTTGAAGGCCGAAAAGCAACATTACTTGTTAACAAATTTATCAAGAGTAGCAAAGTGCCATCATGGAGTTGAGACTTTTAAATTATGCTATTTAATTTTTCCTAATAATCTTAATCTTTCCCTTTCTATATACCTAACAACTTTAAGTAGATTATAATTAGTAAAAAAGATACAGAGAAACAAACTGATCCAGTATAGGGCAAATCGTGGGACAGGTAACAATTCCATTGTCTTCAGTCTGGATGGTGAATCCTCACTTCTGCAGAAAACGTTTCAGTTGTTTCTGCAGCTCAATGAGCTATAGAGAGGGGCAGGAAAACATGAAACAAACAAACAAACAAACAAAAACACCATATGTGATCCGTAGTTCCATTACCTTATGGAGAATTTACTTATGTTAAACAAAATGAGTAGCCTTGACTTGGCATTTACAAGGCCTCTCTGCCTTACAATGTTCCCAAGATCAGTAGCCCTCTCAAAAAATGCACATACACTGTGCCAAACTTAGGAAAGGGACTTTTAAAACTGGTTGTGCTTGCTGTGGGGAATTTGTGCTTCTGGAAGAGTGGAATGAGGACCTAGCTCACTGGGGCAAAGGAGATGGGCCACTGTAGCTATAGGCACTAGGAGATAAGGCTATTGGGATAGCCTCTTGTCCCTTTGAATACACTGGGTCTTACATTGAGTTTTGTCTGTTTAAAGTCAATCTGTTTATCTCCTCTGCTGGGCTGTTGTCTCCATAAGGTTGCATATAGTTATCTGTCTTTTACACCATTGCTTATAACCCAGTGCTTTGCACTTAATTGTGTGCCATTAAATAGCTTCTGATTCATAGCAGTCCTATTGGACAGAGTAGAACTGCCACATAGGGTTTCCTAGGCTGTCACCTCTACTGCAGCAGACATGTGGGCTCAGACCTTTGGGTTAGCAGGTGAGGTTTCATCTATTAAATCTTCGTAGGCACTCAGAATCAGTCAAATGAGTGGACAAAGGCCTTGTTTCAGCCATCCTGCTACCTTCAGTTTCAACACTGGGCCGCTATAATTCCTGCCCAATTCACGAAGAGGAACAGCCAGAAATGAAATTGGGGAGCAAGGGGTGGGGCTCTTTTTATCACACGTTTTTTCCCCCCTTGGTTTGAAAACATAGTTCTCACCTGCTCGCATTTTTGGTTCTCCTCTAATTTAAGCTGCTTCAGCACAGACTTTAAATGATTCTGAAAAACAAATTGGGTATGTTGTGAATACAGAGAGAGAGAGAACCAAAAGAAAGATTTTGGTAAATAATTTGGTAAGAAAACAGTCAGTCCTAACAAAAGAACACTTTTTTTTAGTATAGATTAAAACTATAATCTCAGCCTATTTCTTTATATATACCCAACAATGTGTTGTTTTTTTTCTTCTTGCCCTAAAACACAGGATAAGAATGCCTTCATGTAATCACACAAATCCTATGGAAGAGCTGGTTTAGAACTCAGTGCTGGCTCCACCATTTCCCCTTGCGAAAACAACAATAAAATAGCATCGCTGAGTCAATTCGAACTCATAGCAACACATTGTAAATGGCTGATAAGCATTGCCTCTTATGATCTCAAGTCACCTGGTTCCTTCCTTTTAAAAAATCAATTAATTACTCAAGGAAAAGGAAACAAGGCTGTATTTTACTAGGGGACTCTAAGACTTCGTTCAGTTTCATGAATGAACAAGACGCTGCACAGAGATCACATGGGTGGAAACATGATGGAATTTTGAAAGTAAGATATTACAATTTCTTTTTTTATTAAATAATTTTTTTGGGGGGGCTCTTACATCTCTTATCACAATCCATACATTCATCCATTGTGTCTAGCATATTTGTACATACGTTGCCATCATAATTTCCAAAGCATTTTCTTTCTACTTGAGCCCTTGATATCAGCTCATTTTCCCCTCCCTCCCTCATAAACCCTTGGTAAGTTATAGATTATTATTTTCATCTTACATCATCCTCTGTCACCGTTCACCCACTTTTCTGTTGTTGGTCCCCCTGAGAGGGAATTATATGTTGATCCTTGGGATCAATTTCCCCTTTCTCCCCCCACCTTCCCCTTAGCCTCCTGGTATCTCTATTCATTCTCATTGTTGGTCCTGAGGGGTTTATCTATCCTACATTCCCTATGTTGTGGGCTTTTATCTGTATAGCAGTGTGCATGTTCTGGTCTAATCCGATTGCACTATTTCTTTAAAAAAAAACTGTTAAGATATCAGAGTTTTTCTTTTTTCTTCTATTTTTTAACATTTTATCAGGGGCTCATACAACTGTTATCCCAATCCATACACACATCAATGGTGTAAAGCGCATTTGTATATCGTTTCTCAAAACATTTTCTCTCCATTTAAACCCCCGACATTAGGTCCTCATTTTTCCCCTCCCTCCCCACTCCCCCCTCCCACATGAGCCCTTGATAGTTTATAAATGGGTATTTTGTCATATCTTGCCCTGTCCGACGTCTCCCTTCATCCACTTTTCGGTTGTCTGTCCCCCAGGGAGGAGGTCACACACAGTTCCATGTAATCGGTTCCCTCTTTCCTACCCATTCTCCCTTTACCCTCCCTGTTTTGCCACTCACACCACTGGTCCTATAGGGCTCATCCGTCCTGGATTCCCTGTATTTTCAGTTCCTATCTGTACCAGTGTACCTCCTCTGGTCCAGCCAGTCTTGCAGAGTTTTTCTATACTGGCCAACAAGAACTTCCTTACCCTGAGTGCCAGGTTTTCCACCTTCTTGAGAAGATTCCCTCGTTTTCTCGCTTTTTTCTGAATGTCCTTGAGCTTCTTCTCCACGTAATAAATCTGCTTTTGAATTTCCATGACTAACAGAAATAGAAACGTTAGGCACCTAAATACAACCTAAAATAGGCTCACACTCAAATCAACTAAAACCCCACCACACATGTGAGCAGTAATTGCCAAGTTTAACCCTGCATCTAATGTGCATTTAGAATTAACACTCACCTTTTGCTTTCTCCTAACTTACCCATTGAAGCAGTTCCTTTCTTTGCCTTGTACTGGCCTAATGCATGGAGCAGAGCTTCTAGCTTCTCTTCAGAATCACTGTCATCTTCCTCCTCATCATCATCCTCGTCCTCATCCTCATCCTCATCGTCATCCTTATTTCCTCTACCATGCTCCAACTCATCATCATTGCTACTTCCAGAATCGGTGGACATCTTCCGAAAAGTATCATATTCTATTGTTTTTAAACAAGAGGAAGGTGAAAGTATCTGAAGCTTCTAAAGTGCTTTTCACTCTAGCTATAATTCTATTCCTTAACCTCAAATTTAGTGGACAGCTAATGATTTTTACAAACCATTTTCTTTTAAATACTTTTATTGGGGGCTCTTACATCTCTTATCACAATCCATACATTCCTCCAATGTGTCAAGCACATTTACACATATGCCGCCATCATTTTCAAAGCATTCTCTTCCCACTTGAGCCCGATATCAGCTCCCCATTTCTTCCCACTCCCTCCCCCACCCACTCTCCCTCACAAACTCTTGATAAGTTATAGATTATCTTTTCCATATCCTACATCGTCCTCCGTTGCCCCTCACCCACTTTTCTGTTATTTGTCCCCCTGGGAGGGGGTTCTAGATTGATCCTCATGATCAATTCCCCCTTTCTCCCCCCACCCTCCCCTAATCCTCCTGGCATCTCTACTCTCCTCGTTGGCCCTGAGGGCTTTATCTATCCTGGATTCCGTGTGTTTCGGGCTCCTATCTGTAACTGTGTGCATGCTCTGGTCTAATCCGATTTGTAAGGTAGAACTGAGGTCATGATAGTGGGGTGAAGGAAGCACCAAAGAGCTAGAGACGTGTTTTATCGGTGCTATACTGCACCCCGACTGGCTTCTCTCTTCCCTGTAACCCCTCTGTGAGGGAATGTCCAATTGTCTACAGATGGGCATTGGGTCTCCACTCCATGCCCCCCTCATTCACATTGAGTATGGTTTTATTCTGAGTCTTAGATGCCTTATATCTGATCCCATCAACACTTCATGATCACACAGGCTGGTGGGATTCTTCCATGTGGGCTTAGTTGCTTCTCAGATAGATGGCCGCTTGTTTATCTTCAAGCCTTTAAGACCCCAGACACTGTATCTTCTGATAACCGAGCACCATCTGCTTTCTTGACCACATTTGTTTATGCACCCATTTTGTCTTCAGCGATCATGTCAGGAAGGTGAGCATCACAGAATGCCAGATTGTTAGAACAAGGTGTTCTTGTGTTGAGGGAGTACTTGCGTTGAGGCCCAATGTCCATCTGCAACTTTAATTCTTAACATATAGATGAATACATAGTTCTATTCCCCACTCATTATATATTATATATATACATATATTTACATATGTACATGCCTGTATTTAGGTCTCCATAAGTATCCTTTGTCTCCTAGAAACCATTTTTCTTGAAAGATTATTCTCATCACAAAAGAGAGGCAGGCAACGTGAAACACTACAACACTCTAAGCAATGATCAAGGAATCTAGAGAACCCTAGGGCCCACAGACAGTTTGAATACTAGGGATGACTGGGAGATGGGGCCATCACTCTAAAACCTCTATGCACTGAGGGGAGGGGTGATCCTCTTTCTGTGATTGGTCTTTGAGTCCATGAAGATTAATCTTCCACATAGTCAATACATGCCTCTCTGAAGCTCCTGCAGTGCCTTTATTAACGTACCTGGTGTGAGATGACCCTGTGTTTGGCCAGCCATTTCTGAGCAAAACTCAAATTTTGGAACAATGCCTTGGCATTCTATTCTATTGCTTTCATCTTCAGTGACGACTTCCCATCCTGAGAGGAGGGGTAGTTAAGGGAAAAGCAGAAGAAAAGGTGAAGGGAAGGGAAGAGACAATTTAGTCCTAGTGAAGCCTTTTGTATCTGGATTCCTGGTTTGAAAACGTGCCTTACGTTGAGTTACCCAACGAAATAAATGTCCAGCATGTGAACTTACTATTCCTAGCTGGCAAGTGACAGATCCCAAAATCAAAGCTCTACACATGGCACAAAAGTAACTGAAGTGAGGGCTTGTCAGCAAGTCCATATGGACTGCAACAATGTGCACAGAAAACTACTTGATCTTAAAGGATACGGGTACTGAGAGCTTCAGCATCTGAACACAGCAGTCTCTTCACTTCCTTCTCCACATCTGGAGATTCAATGAACTAAAGGAAAGTGGAGAGAAAGATCAGTAATAGCACTTAAAACCCTGTGTCCGTAGACGTGCTCCTTTTTCTCCTACGAATGAACTCAAACTACTAGGTTGCTTTCGATGCCCAGCCAACCAAATTTCTATTTTAACTAGAGCTGTTTATGAAGGAATCTTTGACCAGGGTCTGAATTTTCACACATTCAACTTTTTTTGTTTTCCCTTCGATCAAGAAAATTGCTTGAAATCCTTAATCTTTTCAATCTGCAACTATGGTAAAGACCCTTCTGAGAGGTACAAACGTTAAGTCTCAGTTATTAATTAACATGCCCCTCACATTGACAAAGAACTATTATTTCTTTGTTATTTAGAAGTGATTTGTCTAAAGTCCCAGATTTCATTTCGCCACATCTTTATTATTAGAGATATTCCTACAAAAACTGGATCTTAGATTCATGTTCTTCCTTGAATCCAAGCATAGACAATTATCTCCACAGCAACCACTTCGTCGTGCCATGAATAGAAATTGAGACTTGGAGGGGGAATAAGCAATAGCAAACAACTGCTGGTAAAAGTTAACTCTGGCCTCTAGGAAATGGCTTTTTGAATAAATTTCATTTAAGAAAGACAGATGAGAATACACAGGGTCACTGGCCAAATTATATCTTTTCCCCTGGGATTAACTGGACATTACACAACAGAATCATTTTTCAATGTGTCAAATTCTATACATATTAGTATGGGAGGGAGTAAAAGGTAAGGAGGAAGAGTGGGAAAGAACCTTTGTGATATCTTTTATTTGTTTTAAACCAATGGATTCCAAAATACAATATACTAAGGGCAAACAATAAAATGGTATTGAAATTCTTTTACCTCACTAAAGCTCACTTCTTCTTCACTTTCTGAGACACCATCATGCTATGAAACAAAACACAACAGTCATGCAATATTACGATTGTTCTAGCTCCATAAAGCTTAAAAAACCTGTATATTATTCTTAACTTTGTTTTGCATTGAGTAAACATTAGTAAAAGCTGTTGACTGGTGATAGGAAAGCCAAGGCAACCGTTTTCATGGCCAGGAAGGCTCAAAAGTAACCATCTCAATTCTCCCCTGAATGCTCTACACATTCAATATAATCCCTATACAAATCCCAGTGTTTTTAGTGTTTTTGTAGCCAGAAAAGTTTCAGTTAAGTTTTATGATAAAATTTCTATGGAAAAACAGAGTTCCTAGAATTTCTGAAACATGCCCCTCCCCGCAAAAGAATTTATTTCAAAGGTCGGCATTGAATCTGCAGCTCCAGGAGAGGGACATATTTGATCAGAGTACACAGGTGCAGAGGAAGGGGGAGGAGGAGAGAGTGAAGCACATCCTGGCCCACCAGGCCTTGAGGACGATGTTCCCGATTAGAGCAGTCAGTTCACAGAGAGGATCACATGGCCGGGCCCACTATGAGACATGATGTCCCTCACTGACCCATAGCCCTACAGGGGACAACACCGGAGACACAATGTGGGAATTGCACCCGATGTGATCCTACCACACCAAGGCAGAACACTAAGGGGGTGCAACAGAACAGCAAGGGAACAGAGCAGCGAGGTCCCCAGGGAATGCTGAAGGAGGACTTGGGGGCCAGGGTGTGGTGCCCCAACAGACTGGACGGGAAAACACTCCTAAAGGCCAACAAACAGTCCTTGAACTAGCTACAAGCTTTTCTTTCTTGTTGTGTTTTTTTTTATCATTGGTTTGTTGTTGTTGTTTTGTTGTATATTGTTGCTTGGTTTTGCTCTGTCTTGTTTTTGTGCATGTTATTATCTCTGCAAGTCTGTCTAA